GAACCAGTCTGACCCAGTACAGCTTTTTGAATCCTGGCAAAACCATTACATCTGAGAAGTATGCTCAGCAAATCAATGAGATGCTCCTAAAACTTCAGTGCCCACAGCTGGCATTGGTCCACAGAAAGGGCCTAATTCTTCTCCATGACAATTCCTGACCACATGTTGTACAACCAATGCTTCAAAATTTGAATAAATTGAACTATGAAGTTTTGTCTCACCTGCCATATTCACCTGACATCTCATCAACCAACTTTCACTTCTTCAAGCATCTTGACAGCTTTTTGCAGGGAAAATGTTTCCACAACCAGCAGGATTCAGAAAATGCTTTCCAAGAGTTCATCAAATCCCAAAGCACAGATTTTTATGCTTCAGTAATAAACAAACTTATTTCTTATTGGCAAAAATGTGTTGATTGTAATGGTTCCTATTTTGATTAATAAAGATGTATTTGGGCCTAGTTATAATAATTTAAAATTCATGGTCTGAAACTGCAATTATCCGCTCCAGTATTCTTGCCTAGAGAATCCTGTAGACAGGAGCCTGGTAGGCTGCTGTCCATAGGTTCTTGCAGAGTCGGATACAACTGAAGCGACTTGGCATGCATGCATGCATTGGAGAAGACAATGGCAACCCACTTTAGTATTCTTGCCCAGAGAATCCCAGGGACAGAGGAGCCTGGTGGGCTGCCATCTATGGGGGTTGCACAGAGTCGGACACAACTGAAGCGACTTAGCAGCAGCAGCAGCAACCTAATAAAACATACAGTTGATCTAAGATTTTGGTCACTGCATGTAATTAATTTGAGTGCTCCCTAAATGAATGGCAGAGCTATCTAAAAAATACCTTAATTTTTACTACCTTAGTAACATTTTATTTTAGCTTGATCGGTTTTATCCTCACAAACTAAAGAAACACATCCAGCATTTGTCACTAAGTTAACATCTTGTATGTGCATGCTAAGTCACTTCAGTCATGTTAGGCTCCTCTCTCCGTGGGATTCTCCAGGCAAGAATACTGGACTGAGTTTCCATGCCCGCCTCTAGGGACTGAACCCACGTCTCTTACATGTCCTGCATTGGCAAGCAGGTTCTTTACCACTCACATCCCTGGGAAGCCCAACTTAACATCATAAGTGTGTTTAAAAGATTGTGATAACAAAATGTTGATGGTGTTTTTCTGCAAGCAGTGTGTTGAGAAATGGTAGCTCAGTGTCTCCAGAAATCCTAATTGCACCCTATGTTTCCAGAAAATTTTTTATTTCTTTTTTTTCTTTTTTTGACTGTGTTGGGTCTTAGTTGTGGCCTGTAGGATCTTAGTTCCCTGACCAAGGATTGAACCCATGTCCCTGCATTGCAGGGTGAATTCTTAACCACTGGACCAACAGGGAAGTCCCAAGTTTTTTATTTCTAAGATTGCCCTATAAAAGAATCATCTCTCATAGGACTTTATCAAAGCTGATTACAGCGGAGAAAACAACTCCTTTTAGCTTCAAAATCATGTTTTAAAAAATGGAAAACAGAGTAATTTAAACTATTTCTTGCTATCCCAGTTTGGTTTCATGGTTGTAATATGGCTGTTAAGGTTTGGACAGAGAGCCTATTTTTGTTTTATCCCTTTAGTAAGAATCATTCTTCTGCCACATTGAACTGAAGTGTTTATTCAGTAAAACTTGCTCATACAATGAAGCCAAAGCTGTTTTAGTATACATCACAAGGAATCATTATGAATAACTGAAACTCACTTCATTCCACTCACAACTAGTTAGGGGCTTATATTATGTAAAAAGCTGTTAGGTATCAGTTTTCTTTATCTGCGTATAATGTTGAAGCATGATACAATAGCAGTTGGTGTATTCAGTTAAACATTATTATGTAATGTATCACTTTAGGATTTCAAGAGCTTGAAATCCAACATTTTCAAAGAATATTAATGTAGCCCCTACTAACTAATGGGGGCACTATGCTAAATAGTTTGTATATGTTAACAGATTAATCTATTTGCCTAAGATTCTGTGTTGTTAGTCACTCAGTCATGTCCAACTCTTTGCGACCCCTTGGACTGTAGCCTGCCAGGCTTCTCCAACCATGGGATTTTCCAGACAAGAATACTGGAGTGGATTGCCATCTCCTTCTCCAGGGGATCTTGTCGACCCAGGGATTGAACCCAGGGCTTCCCTGGGGGCTTGGCAGGTAAAGAATTCACCTGCAGTGTGGGAGATCTGGGTTCGAACCCTGGGTTGGGAAGATCCCCTAGAGAAGGAATGGCTACTCACTCCAGTATTCTGACTGGAGAATCCCATGGACCATATAGTCCATGGGGTCACAAAGAGTCAGACACGACTGAGCGACTTTCACTTTCTTTCTCCTGCATTGCAAGGAGGCTCTTTACCATCTGAGCCACCAGGGAAGTCTAAGATTACAAAGCTAATTTCAGAGGCTGAATCAGAATAGAATACACATCACTGGAGTCTCATTCTAGGGTGTTTTAAATTTCATAAAGCATTTACTCTGTGCATCTAGAATAGTCCAGAAAATTTCTTCCTTTCTCAGTCTTAAATTATATATTTTACAAAAGAAAAAAAGGATGCAAGGGCAGTCGGAAGAATGTCCTTCCTGAAAATGTTATGCATTGTGTTGCTTTGTTGTTTTCTCTTAAACTTTTCTGTGGTTCTAGAATTACTTCTGGAAACAAACTATTTTCATACAGCAGCCCAAAGCAGATTTTGTAAGAAAATAGGTTAACATAGGAGACTTTTCAAAGTGAAGTCATGGAACATCTATCCTGTTTCGTAATATGGCTCATGATTGACCTGTAGCTTTGTGTAAGCATTCTAAAAAACCAAAAGGGAAAGGGGAAACACACCTCTGCTACCATCTCCCAGGATTGCAATGTATGGCAAAAACCACTACAATATTGTAAAGTAATTACCCTCCAACTAATAAAAGTATATGGGAAAAAAAAATTCAGGCAGTCCTTCAAAGGGCCTTCATAACAGTCCACAGTGGCTTTTCAGATGCGTGCAGACCTTCAAACAAACACTGTCTTGAGGTTGTGAAACAGCAGCCCAAGCTGGCAACTGTTTAAGTCGTGATGCAGTCACTGACATTTCCCAAGTGGCCAAAGGTTTGATTTCACGCCCAGTTCCAACATTTATAATCATTTTGCCCTGCTCCTTTCTGTCTTTTAATTTTTCCAAAGGCCTGCAAAGGAAATGATTTTGAAAAGACAACTTCATTCACTAGCTCCAGGGTGGTTTTTTTCTTTGATTTTTAAAAATTTTTTGTTCAGTAGCTCAGTGATTTTCAAACTGTGTGTCACAGATAATTAGTGAAGAATGAAATGAATTTAGTGGGTTACAACTACATTTTGAGACCTAGTGGAATAGACTAAAAATATTATTAAAAACATTGTAAGAAGTGGGAGTATTTTTTAAACTTTTGTGCCAAATATGTGTGTATGTATATAAAGTAGTACATAAATTCCTAGAATGCTTACTGACCAGTGAAAGTTATTGCCTAAATGCTGGAGAGGGTGTGGAGAAAAGGGAACCCTCTTACACTGTTGGTGGGAATGCAAACTAGTACAGCCACTATGGAAAACAGTATGGAGATTTCTTAAAAAACTGGAAATAGAACTGCCATATGACCCAGCAATCCCACTTCTGGGCATACACACCGAGGAAACCAGATCTGAAAGAGACACATGCACCCCAATGTTCATCGCAGCACTGTTTATAATAGCCAGGACATGGAAGCAACCTAGATGCCCATCAGCAGACGAATGGATAAGGAAGCTGTGGTATATATACACCATGGAATATTACTCAGCCATTAAAAAGAATTCATTTGAATCAGTTCTAATGAGATGGATGAAACTGGAGCCCATTATACAGAGTGAAGTAAGCCAGAAAGATAAAGACCATTACAGCATACTAACACATATATATGGAATTTAGAAAGATGGTAACGATAACCCTATATGCAAAACAGAAAAAGAGACACAGATGTACAGAACAGACTTTTGGACTCTGGGAGAAGGCGAGGGTGGGATGTTTCAAGAGAACAGCATCAAAACATGTATATTATCTAGGGTGAAACAGATCATCAGCCCAGGTTAGATGCATGAGACAAGTGCTCGGGCCTGGTGCACTGGGAAGACCCAGAGGGATCGGGTGGAGAGGGAGGTGGGAGGGGGGATCGGGATGGGGAATACATGTAAATCCATGGCTAATTCATGTCAATGTATGACAAAAACCACTGCAATGATGTAAAGTAATTAGCCTCCAACTAATAAAAATAAATGAAAAAAAAAAAGAAAGTTATTGCCATACATACTTCGTGTGATGGGAGTTTCTGTGTTATTTTGAACACTTTAAAAATAGTGATGTAATCCCTTTCCCAAATTTGGTCTTTAGGTTTGTGTTCAGCTACCATTCTTTATTTCTAGACAAATTGAGTAGCGAATCAGTGGGTGCACTGTCATGTCATCACTTGAAGTTAGGAGAAAGTATTAGTATTTTATCTTATGTCTGCATAGAAGTCAGCTCTGGATCTACTCAATTGTGATCTGATGTGGAGAGCACTGGTAAAGATCATTACATATCTTTTCTATTTAGGTTTTTACTTGGTTTTCGGACCTTTGCTTGAGAGAATTGTTTTCAACTAATTGTTGGAATTTAAATCCTTGACAGACAAATTTGATGTGAATATCAAGTTATCTGGTATTTTATTTTCTCAGGTTAATGTGACTAATTTAAAGAAATTACTTAGAAAGTAGTATTAACTTAATGAAAATTAAATATAATCTATTCAATCATATCTATTCATAAATTTAAAATAAAATTCTATAATTATGTTCCAATAAAATTTTTAAAAAATAAACTTTTGGTGGAGTACATTAGCATTAATGTATTAAAATATATTTCATATTATTTGATATATTTTGTTTGAGATGGTTATAACCATTTATCATATCTAATCCTTTTCTTGTATTTTTAGCTAAAATTGACCAAGAAGCAGAGGAGAACTCACTGACAGAGACTCATAAGTGGTGAGAAATTATTTTCCTTTAATATTTGTTCTCAGAGTAGGCTTATAAACCACTTAATGTGACTTTCAAGGAGTCAATCATTAGCTCAGTTTTTATTTTCAAGCATAAAAGAAACTAACAGTGTTATTTTAATTATACATTGAATTTCTGACTTTTATTTTTATAATTCTGGATGATATATAAACCTGTTATATCAAATTATTGTGACTAGATAACTTATTAGCACCTTCTCTTTAGAATAGGTTTTAGGACTGTGGAAATACAGCAGAAAGGAAGACAGCAGGAAACTATTTCAAGAAAAAGTGTGAAGGGTTTGGTTATAAGACATGAGTTTCCAGGTGCAAAAGCAGAGCTTAAGTGGGCCCCCTGAGTTCCCCTTGCCTGACCCTTGCTCTCACAGTAGAGGTTTGCCATCATCAGTTCAGTTCAGTCGCTCAGTCGTGTCTGACTCTTTGCGACCCCATGGACTGCAGCACGCCAGGCTTCCCTGTCCATCACCAACTCCCGGAGTTTACTTAAACTCATGTCCATCATGTTGGATGGTGATACCATCCAACCATCTCATCTTCTGTCCTCCCCTTCTCCTCCCGCCTTCAATCTTTCCCAGCATCAGGGTCTTTTCCAAAGAATCCGTTCTTAGCATCAGGTGGCCAAAGTATTGGAGTTTCAGCTTCAGCATCAGTCCTTCCAATGAATATTCAGAGCTGATCTCCTTTAGTACGGACAAGTTGGATCTCCTTTCAGTCCAAGGGACTCTTAAGAGTCTTCTCCAACACCATAGTTCAAAAGCATCAATTCTTTGGCGCTCAGCTCTCTTTATAGTCCAACTCTTACATCCATACATGACTACTGGAAAAACGATAGCTTTGACTAGGTGGGCCTTTGTTGGCAAAGTAATGTCTCTGCTTTTTAATATACTGTCTACGTTGGTCAAGAAGCACATGTCTTTTAATTTCATGGCTGCAGTCACCATCTGCAGTGATTTTGGAGCCCCCAAAAGAAAGTCTATCACTGTTTCCACTGTTTCCCCATCTATTTGCCATGAAATGATGGGACTGAATGCCATAATCTTCATTTTTTGAATATTGAGTTTTAAGCCAGCTTTATTACTCTCCTCTTTCACTTTCATCAAGAGGGCTCTTCAGTTCATCTTTGCTTTCCGCCATAATGGTGTCATCTGCATATCTGATGTTATTGATATTTCTCCTGGCAATCTTAATTCCAGCTTGTGCTTCATCCAGCCCGGCATTTCACATGATGTACTCTGCATATAAGTCAAGTAAGCAGGGTGACAGTATACAACCTTGACATACTCCTTTCCCAATTTGGAACCAGTCTGTTGTTCTATGTCCAGTTATAACTGTTGCTTCTTGACCCGCATACAGATTTCTCAGGAGGCAGGTAAGGTGTTCTGGTATTCCCATCTCTTTAAGAATTTCCCACAGTTCCCCAGAGAGAGAGAGAGATTGATTTTAAGGAATTTGCTCACAACAGTGGCTGCCTGACTTCATTTTATAAACAGTTCTCCCTCCATCATGATTTTAGTCTGTTATCACAGCAGAGCTGGCATTCCTGATTATCCTCTGCACTTGACCCTGTATTGGGGCAGTGGTGTTCTTATAACAAGATATTTAGTTTTACTTTGCACCTCACCAGAGACCAAGTGACAAATTGGTGGGAGATGTATGTGGTGTAATTTCTAGAACAAGTTGAGAGTCATTTATAGACTGTGAGTTGGGCTATAAATGTCCCGGGCATCTTTTCTACACCAAAAGAGAAGGTCCCCAAAGGTTTTGAGGACATGCGTTGTTGCATATTCCCACCAAGGCTGCTATGAAGGAAGGCGGCCAGTGAGGTGCCAGGGCCCTGACGGTCCATTTTGAATGGCACCTGGGAAACCACACCATGTGCCTAGACCAGCTTCCTTAGCCTTCCTCCACCATCCAGGGTTGTAGAGATGGAATACCTTGGTTTTTGCAGTATGCATAATTTTTTCACGTGTGAACAGTAAGAGATCTTACTAGAAAAGCATATTCACATGAAAATGTGTTCTAAACTGCACAAACCTGTTTTCAGCTTACTTTGAACGGAATTTTACTCATTTGTGTTTATATTTGACTACTTAGAAAATAAAAAGCCTTGACTCTTATTCATTTTAAAATGGATAGTGAGCTCTCCTTAACAAACTAGTTAGGATTCTTTTCTGCGGTGGAATATTATTTTTTCAGGTCATTTTATGATTCCCTAACTAAATAAAAGTAGTCAAATGGTTAGTATTTCTAACTAAGAAATGGTTAGTAAGCTTTTAAAGCAAATCAAATCATTTTTATATTCCATTTCTTACCATAACAGTATTATGTGCTAATTTTGTCTTTTTATTCATACAATTTTGCTATCAATCTGAGAAGTGGGACTTCAAGTTCCTATTTTGTATGTACAGAATTATGTAACTTTTAGATAAATTGTTTGATGGAACTCTTCAGTTCTCCCAGAAAGTAAGACAACTGAGCAGATGAGTCTTGAACCACACATCCCAAATCCAAATACACGTTGGATAAGCATGCTCTCATCTTCAGATGATTTCTGTGGCGAGCCAGGAGGTCACTTTGTCTTACAGGGCTTCACCAGAATTCTGTTCCATTAGGTGCAACCCAACTGAATGTGTTAATTTCAGCCTCTGTTTTATTTCTTCTTAATTACCATCCACAGCTTTCTTCAATTATGGCAAAATATCACCATACCAAATATGATTACTCAGTGTCTGTATCAACTCACAGGTAGAGAATGTAGCAATTCTAGATTTGTCTAATAAGTGGCCATTCCTTTACATCTATACTTAAAAATAATGAGAATGAGAGTTATAAAACTAACTGCTTACATTCAGTGGTCCTTATTTATAAATTATGGCTAGCTTAAAAATTATCTTAGAATTTCTTTTTTTTAACTCCATGGGTAAAAACCATACTTTATGGTGACAATGATTTTGAAATACAAAAATAGAAGATTTTCTTTTAATTTCTTACTCTTTTTTAATTAAAGTATAGTTGATTTACAAAGTTGTGTTAATTTTAGGTATACAGCAAAGTGATTCAGTTATACATATATCTTTTTTCAGATTATTTTCCCTTATGGGTTATTATAAAATGTTAAGTATAGTTCCTTGTGCTATACAGTAGGTCCTTGTTGGTTATTTTTTTCTACATAGTAGTATGTATATGTTATTCTCAAACTCATAATTTCTGAGTACCCACAGCTTTCTCCTTTGGTAACCATAAGCTTGTTTTCTCTGTCTGTAAATCTATTTCTGTTTGGTATATAAGTCCATTTGTATCATTTTTATTAGATTTCATATATAAGCAATATCATATATTTTTCTTTCTTATGTAACTTAGTATGATAATCTCTAGATATATCTATGTTTCTCCAAAAGGCATTACTTCATTATTTTTCATGTTTGAGTACTATTCCATTATATATATATATATATAAACACACACACACACACACACACACACACACATACATACTACATCTTCCTTATCCATTCAGACAATTAGGTTGCTTCCTTGTCTTGGCTATTGTAAACAGTGCTGCAATGAACATTGGAGTACATATATATTTTCAAATAATAGTTTTCTCTGGATATATGCCCAGGAGTGAATTGCAGGATAATATAGTAGCTCTATTTTTAGTTTGTTAGGGAATGCCCATACTGTTTTCCATAGTGGCTGTACCAATTTACATTCCCACCACCACTGTAGGAGGGTTCCCTTTTCTCCACATTCTCTCCAGCATTTGCTATTTGTACACCATTCTGACTGGTGTGAAGTGATACCTCATTATAGTTTTGATTTGTATTTCTCTAGTAATTAAAAATGTGGGGCATCTTTTCATGAGCCTTTTGGCCATCTATATGGTGTCTTTGGAGAAACATCTATTTAGATCTGCCCATTCTTTGACTGGGTGATTTGTTTTGTTTTTTGATGTTCAGCTGCATAGTTCTTTGTATGTTTTGGAGATTAATCCCTTGTCAGTCACACTCTTTGAAACTATTTTCTTCAGTTCTGTAAGTTGTCTTTTCATTTTGTTTATCGTTTCCTTTGCTGTGAGTTTAAATTTATTAGGTCCCATTTCTTTATTTTTGCTTTGTTTTCCTTTGCTTTAGGAGACTGATCCAAAAATGCATTGCTGCAATTTATGTGAAAGTGTACTGCCTGTGTCTCCCTCTAGAAGTGTTATGGTTTCTGGTATTACATTTAGGCCTTTAATCAATTTTGAGTTCATCTTTTATATGGTGTAGGAAAATGCTGTGATTTTGTTCTTTTACATATAGCTGTCCAGTTTTCCCAGTATCGCTTATTAAAGAGGCCATCTTTCAACCTCTTTAACAAGTGGTGCTGGGAAAACTGGTCAACCACTTGTAAAAGAATGAAACTAGAACACTTTCTAACACCATACACAAAAGTAAACTCAAAATGGATTAAAGATCTAAATGTAAGACCAGAAACTATAAAACTCCTAGAGGAGAACATAGGCAAAACACTCTCTGACAAATCACAGCAGGATCCTCTATGACCCACCTCCCAGAATATTGGAAATAAAAGCAAAAATAAACAAATGGGACCTAATGAAACTTAAAAGCTTTTGCACAACAAAGGAAACTATAAGCAAGGTGAAAACACAGCCCTCAGATTGGGAGAAAATAATAGCAAACGAAGCAACAGACAAAGGATTAATCTCAAAAATATACAAGCAACTCCTGCAGCTCAATTCCAGAAAAATAAATGACCCAATCAAAAAATGGGCCAAAGAACTAAACAGACATTTCTCCAAAGAAGACATACAGATGGCTAAAAAACACATGAAAAGATGCTCAACATCACTCATTATCAGAGAAATGCAAATCAAAACCACAATGAGGTACCATTACACGCCAGTCAGGATGGCTGCTATCCAAAAGTCTACAAGCAATAAATGCTGGAGAGGATGTGGAGAAAAGG